GCGCCTTTTAGCACACTTGGGTAGTTTTAAGCGCATCAGATTGTTTTTAGTGAGGAAAAAATGCGCTGAGGGTCAACCTCACTCTCTCCCTCACCGCCAGAGGGACCTCCTCTCCTAAAGTTACAAACAGGTAGGACAACGTTTAATCCCTAAGCTCAGCTTGCTTTTCCAGGAAGGTCACACAAATACAAAGTCCTTCATCTTTAAAGAGGTGATTTCATAAATTCCCTGATTTGGCGTTTCCATCCACGTACTGCAACCTAATGCATTGATCGCAATGGATCGTGCTAGAGAAAGACACACGGGAACAAGGAAAGGACGGGATAGAGTAGAATAAATTAAAAGGGTAAAAGTGCAGGAAAAGCAAATTCACATTAAATGTTTCAATGTCCATAAAATTTCAAACGCTTAGTTATAGAAAGTATGCATAAAAATAAGGTTTCCTGTACTCGTCGAGGATCAATTTAGGTTTTCTTCAAATTTTATACCTGAAAAAGGGTACCTATTGGTTTTAAAAGATATTCCAATTTGCCCAGTAGTGTTGAACTCAACCGGTCGTTACACTTAAACTCAAGGTTTCTAAACTACACGCTATATGCGTACCATTTAACCGAAATCACAAATTTTTCGACGCTATGGGAAAGAGGTCACATAGTTCTAATAAAATGTGGCAATGAATGTGGAGCAGGTTGTATACTTCATAGGCAAAATTAATAAATTTACGGACACAATGTCTTATGAATGAACATTTCGCGGTCTTTAAAGGCTCATTATTAGAATGTTTACCACAAGACACACTTTCTTCAAATATAACGTGATACCCAAGGAGTACAAGAAACACTATTTTGGGTAACTTTTTTATAAAGATATTTGAATTTTTGAGAGCACTGAAAATCAATGAGAATAACCTCTTCAGGTAAGGAAAGATACGTTCTATTGTTCGCGTAAAAACGCCTGATAATCTACATAATCATATCTGAACAGAAAAGTATCGCGATTAACAACTATATGCTTCGTAACAGGCAAGAGCGGACGCTAAGGTAGGAATAGGAAACGCTTCTACCAGCGGGTAATGCAGGTAGTCTTACAACATTCTAGGAAGGATAAATATTTCCATATAACCTTAATTCTCGCTCCGACATTAGCCCTAATACCCCTCGTATTTAGTGTAAGGTCAAGTTTATTACAGGGGTTCCTATTCACGTATCTTACGGCATTAGCAATTTCGAAGCTACAGGTGGGGCTTACCTTGAAATGGCGCGCCCTCCTTGTACAGGCTTCTGCAGTTTCCTAGCCTCTAGCGCATGCTATTTTATTTTCCCAGTATCTTCTACTGAAAGCCCTCGTTAAGCTGACCCTGAGCTCGATGAATGCAGTGCGCTTCAGCTGCCTCCGTGGGTGTGAACAAACAAAGAAACTGCAAACAGACCCTGACACTGAACATAATATAATGCACACAACGCGTGAGTCATCCG